TCTCTCTCTCTCTCTTTCTCTCTCTCTATCGCACTCACTCATTCACTTGCCCTCATTTGGCAACACAAAAGTAGCACCAGACACTCACACCTTCGCACTTATCCCTCCTCCTCTCCTCCCCTTTCTCCTTCCCCTTCTTTCTCTTCCTCTCTCCCACTTCAGTCTCTCTCAGCTCTTTGTGTGTCTGTGCATGTGTGTGTATGTGAGCACTGCCCGGGCACGACTAGAGTTTTCACAGTCTGCTTCTCACTTCGCCTCCCCTGTGTGCTTTATGGTGTGGGTGTGTGTTTGTTTACAAGGCTTGTCTAGATTCCTACTGTGCGCGCTTGTACGCTTGTTTGCATAAATAAGCCCTCTCTTCGGAACCTAGCTGCTGATTTCTGTGGCGCGTCGCGGCTCGATGTGCAAGTGCTCCTCGCGGACAGCCCTGCTTGTCTTTTACGAGGACTTTCCTTTTCCTTGCTCCGTCTTCAAACCCTTTCACCTTTTGACACCAAGTGGGAAAAAAACCCCGGCCTTCCCATTGAATGCTTCTTTTTCTCCGAGGCTTTGTCTAGAAAGTCCTAACTCCGGTTTTCGGAGCTGGTTGCCTTTGAGCAATCAGGGTTAGGTGCCTGGAGGAGGGGGTGCTTCAGTGGGGATAGATTGGACCTGGCGGCAGGGCTTGAACTGGTGATGTGTCTGTAACCTTGAGTTCACCCTGCCGCTCCAGGAGGCAGCTCGCATCCTCCTAGTTATTCTTGGTTTCCCCCTCAATGCTGCGTGTGGGTTTCGCGGTGTGTTTAGGCCTATATGTGCTTGCAGGGGATTTTTGTATGGGCTCCCTACAGCGCCTAAACCACCCAGCCCCCCCACCCCTCCTCCCACCTCCGCCTTTCTCTGGAGGAGATCTGATTTCCCTGCTCCAGGCGAGCAGCGAGAACAAGACAGCGTGCGCATGCATCTGTGTGTGCTTCAGTGCATGTCTGTACTTTTTGTGTGCACGCGCAACCCGGGCCAGGCAGACCTTCCCCATCTCCGTTCTGCGCTTTGAAAAACGAGGGAGGAAATCTCAGAGCAGCAGTTATTATTCATCCCTCAAAGAGAACGGGGAGGAGGCGGAGGAGGAGGAGGGAGGGAGGGATGGATGGAGGGAGGAAGAAAGAGAGAGCCAAACGGGAGGGATGAAGGAGGGGTGGGGGATACATTAACTCTTATCTCACTGTATTCGGCATTCTGCATCCCAGGATGCGCTCTTTCTCTCCCTCTCTCTTTCTCATTCCTGCTTTCTCTTTCCTTTCTACACTCCCTTCCTTCCGTTCTTTGCCTCTATGCCTCTCGGAATATCTTGCATTCAGCGCGCATGAACGTGTGTCTGTGCCTCCGTGTGTGTGTAGGCTGGTGTGTGGTTTGCACTGTATACCCTACTATCTTTTGTGGTGTATTTTGTTTACTTGAACAAGTGAGCTGATGCTGAAAGGCAGTATGCAAGGTTCTAACTCTCATCTTTATTTGTTTGTGAGCCTTCTTTATTTATCTATCTCTTCACATTCAATTTACCGTATGAGACTGGCAGCATTGGCCTGTTTGCTAAAATAAGTTTTGAACTTGATGTAGCTTGCAGATATGTGGTGTTGGGTTTTTTTTTCGAGATTGGGAGGCAAAGAAATCGACCATTTTCTCCTTTTTGTGTCACTTTGATCTGCAGTTTGTGCAGTGGTGACATGACAGGCTCCAGGGGGTTGCTACCCAAGTCAGGATTAGCTCTGTTTGAATGTAGTTGTATACACTAGGAGGTGGCACGTCAAGAAAGCACGCAGACTGACTGCTCTGATCATTAGATTTGATGTTCCTAATTTTTTGACTTATTTACACATGGATAACATAAATCCTGGCAAATCTGAGAGGTCTGTGGTGTCAGATGTCATGCTCTCTGAACACCCTGATTGCCTGTGTGATAGTATAGCCACATGTGGCTGTGTGGCCCAGATAATATTTGGTGGAAATGTGAGCATGCCTGTTGTGTGTGTGTGTGTGTGTGTGTGTGTGTGTGTGTGTGTGCGCACACACCTGCGTTTTGCATCTCAGGCAGTGATCGGTGTGTAACTGGGGGCGGAGAGCCACGTAGCCATTCGTCTCCCATTGAGCAGCAGTGACGCTCCGCTATTCATCCCCATTTAGCGAGACAGAGAGCTGGCCTACAGGGCTGTGTGAATCGCGCACACACATCGGGCAGGCACCGGCACCGAGGCTGGACACAGACGCACACACATCAAGTCTCTAGGTTCTGTGTCGTAGTCGAGACAGTTTTACGCACAATAACGCATTTGCGTGCATGCAAATGACACATATTCACAAACAAAACAGAATACAGGTGTGTGAATTCTCCATTTAGCAATTAAACTATATACTGACTTATATAAATGTATATAGGTGGTAGCAATAGACATATATCCCTACGTAGACAGACAAACTACATACAGGCATATAGGCGTATACGAACATCAATGTATGTGCATATGGTGTGCACACGCAAATGCTAAAGGAGATACGAGATAACCTCCCTCACATGCACACATTCAGTGGCGCATGCAAACACAAACACACACTCGCGCGCACCCACACACACCCTGTTCCCCCTCCCTCTGCTCTTTCAGGCACGTCTTTAAATATTCATCACTCTGGCTGCTCTGAGAGTGCCGTAAACGCTGCCTCACACTCCAGGGAATCGCTAAAGCCTACTCTATCATCTGCTCTCCCTCCCTCCTCTCTCTCGCTCTCCCTCTCTCTTTCTCTCTCTCTCTCTCTCTCTCTCTTTCTTTCTCTTTCTCTCTCTCTCTCTCTTTCTCTCTCTCTCCCTCTCCCTCTCTCCCTCCCTCCCTCTCCCCTCCCCCCCTCCACACACACACATATACACACACTTCGCGCACACACTTCCAGCCACAGCCACGCACAAGGATAAACTCACGTGCACAAACACTCGAAGGC